CCCTCCCTCACTAGGCGCCACTGAGGTTCTAATGGTTCTACAACAGTTCATAACTTTTTCATTAGCAACTGCTACTTCACGTGGGGATTGCCTCATTGACCCATCACATGCCTCTTCAAATGTTTCCAAACTATAAGAAATGGTAAATAAGTAAGTAACTAAGAGAATTGCGCTAGTCTCATTTTCGTTTAAATCTCTAGATTTTCGAAAATTGTTCATTTAGATAGTATTTGCACTAGCCCCTCTAGTTCTGAATCAAGGGCCCACAAAATAAGGATTCAGACTCCTCAATGTGTTAGAAGAAGTTATCTATGTATGTATGAACAATATTTATCTACTGAACTGTTTTTCGATAGCTTTTCTTTTAATAATAGTTTTTCTGTCGAAAAGCATCGCTCTGGAGACCTTAGGGACAAGTCATTATTTCTTTTGAAAAGTTCTGCTAACCAGCAATTTCTTTTTTATAACCATAAATCTTAATATTTAACGTTATTTGGCAGATTGATAGGTGAGTTTGCAGCATTTTTGTGGTCAAACCATAAAACATTTTGTATCCAGCAATCACATACTCTTGGACCTAAGTAAAAACTTGTTAATGGCTTGTAAAAACTTGTTAATTAATTGAGTTCAACTTCTGCACCAGAAAGTGATATAATCTTGTTTCCCTCTTCCAACACCACATTTATCAGCTACACTTCTTATGCTTCTACCTTCTGCAACCAAATTAATTGCTCTCTTCATATAGGTTTCCTCATATATCCCTTTGGTATTTTTTCTGTTGTATATTTATGCTATATCTGGTAAACTTGTAAAAAAGCATTACAACATATGACTCATCGTCCCCCATCTTCACCTGCCCCATTTTGCCCGTGTAGTTCCATCATTTTCAAAGAGGGTCAGAAATGATTTAAAAAATTAGTTACTGTAACTTACCTACAATGCATGAAGATAATAAAAACTTCAGGGAACTGCAATCTTCAACTTCAATAGCAGTATTAAAATGACAAATAATAATATTAATTCAAATATGTGTTGCTAGTAATTTACTTCAAAAGGGAAAGCTCAGTTAACACTTAGACAATGAAGTCAGATCATGGCCACCTGGATAATAAGTATGGATACACTATCAATGTTTAATCATGATCAATTTAGCCAACCTAAACACCCTGAATATCAGCAAACATTCACTGACTCATCATACCCCATAGCCCATGGTCTCCCCTATTATGATCAAAAAATGTCTGCATTTTTCACGTTTTCTGCCAATTTTGTACATGGGAATTGTTTAATCGAAAATAGGCTTTATAAATATAGGAAAGTAATCTGTTTTTCAGCATGGAAGTTTTTGAGAGAATAATTGAGAGTAGGTTTTAAGAAAATTTCGTTTCAACATCTTTGAAAATTCACCATTATTGTACTATTCTTTTACTGAAGTTGTTTGGGGATTTCGAAAAAACTTAATTAGAGATCAATTGTTGCTTTTGTATCTACAGATCCATTAAATCATGTTAAATTGTAATATATGAATCATTTTTAAAAATTCAAAATTTTAATGAAAATGGGTCTTCAGCCATATTTTTAAGTGCAAATTGCTCTATTTGCAGAAGAAGTTTACTAAAAAATTGGAGCCCATTTATAGAATATTTTTTTAAATGTCATATGAGCTTCATTTAAAGATTTGAATTGAAAGATCCAATTCAAATTTGCAAGTTACCTAAAATTGAAAGATCCATTTCAAATTTTCAGTTCCTCAAGTAAATCCAAATCAATCATAGAATATTCATTTTGGTAAAAATCCTAAATGCAGTATAGGCACTAATGTTCCTAAACAGATGAACAGACATTAACAAATCCTCTTTTCTGGAATTAAGGTCTCACAAAGTGAGTTTTTCTGTTGGAAAACCAGCATTTTTTTTCCTACAGCATTACAAAACTTTCTCTATACCACATAGTATATGGGAAAATTAAAAGAAGGTGAAAATTCATTCAGCAAATAAAAATCCAACAGTGCCATAACCTACTTGAAGTTCTGAACTTTCCTTTATTAAAAAATGCTTTATGGATGTATTATCTAATTATCAAGAAAATTCTGGTAATACACAAAATTGTTTCAAAAATAAACTTGTAGTCTTTGTGTTAAGAAACTGAACTTTCATTAAGATCACATTCCTGTTTTTTTTTCAATTTTAAGCATTTTGATAGCAAAAAAGTTATTAATTTTGATTTTAACCAAATGAAATAAGTTAAAACTGAAGTTAAAGTTAAATTTTTTTACTTGAGAATCATAAAACACTGAAAACATTATTTTGAATTGGAAAAATCTTCATTTATGCCAAGACCCAAAACCTATTTTTAGGAAATTTCATTACTTTATATGTAGCAGATTTAGTTTTAAAAAATCACTAAAATGAATTTTCTCTGTGGTTTTTCATTACTTTGGAACCATTTTCACCTGTTTTAAAAAAAATGTTTTAATGTTTATAAGAAGAATGTAATAATTGAGTTTTGAAGTAAGATGATGAATAATGTGCGAGGCTGGTATCATTCTTCTTTTCCACTTCTGTGTCTTTTCTCTAAACTGAAATGAAATTGTTTTGTTGTTTGTGAAACTGAAATGATTTGTTTTTAGACTTGCTCTCTAACAAATAAGAGTAGGTATTCTGTGTAAATGTGTCTCTGAAAGTAATCAAATCTTTGAATAAACATTCAATTTTCCTTTGAAGGTTTGTTTTATTTTCTTTGCAATTCTTGTTAAATGAGTTTAGATGTTAAATGTATGTATTGAAATGATGTCTTGAAATCATGAATTTATTAGAATATGACTTGATATTATTTTGTCTTTTTATTTGTAGGCACAACGACCTGTTGTAATGAATTTAAATAGGGAGCGAAGACATAAATATCAACATCCTAAAGGTGCTCCAGATGCAGATCTCATTTTTGGACCAAAGAAAGTCAGGTGAAAAAACATGAAGAATAACTTTAGGTTACTTGCTGGCCATAATGTGAAACATTGGAGTATAGTAGACGCCAGTGGCCAATATCGCCAATTGTTTGGTGACAGAGGTTGTACCTACTGGACATTGGCCAAGGAAGGATATACAGTCTGGCAAAGTTTGCTGTGGCGCATTAATTGTTCATAGTGTTGATTGGTGTGTACAAATGACATGAGGCTAGTGAACTGCCGAAATTGTAAAAATAAATGACTTGTTTTATTGCAGAATGTTTCACTTCTTGAATACTCTACTTTTTACTTTGATGTTGGTTGTTTCAAAAAGGCTGCAAGATCCCTTTCCTTCTTTTTTTGTGCTTTACTTTAACACATATACTATACAGTATTTCATTTTCACAGGTATTTTGTTTAATTTGCTTACAATTTAAAAGCAGCTTGGCTTGTTTGTTGTTCACCCTTTATACCTGTACTGGATACTGTCTGGTTTAGGAAATCCATCATAGGGTATACAACCACTCAGAATGTCTCTTTAATGGTGAAGATAATATTGTAATATGACATTGTAACATAACATGGTGCAGCATGTGATGATCTTATGAATAGGTAGATGACCATTTGTTGTTTTAGTCTATAGCTTATGTTATTTTCCATATATGAACGTAATTTCCATCAATTTCAATTCTTTTCCATCAAATTTTTTTTGGGAAAAGGCCATGAACCCCTGAGATCCGTTGCACTTGATCCATCATTGTTGCAAAAAAAGTTATTCATACTTTTTACATTTACCACATTTACTGCAAACATGTATGTACAAATCCACTCCCATCTTTAAGTAAACTGAAAAAAGATGACTCCTCAAAACAACAAATTGGTTGCAACCTCAACCCCTCTTCCAAAATTGCCTCTTGGATCTCTCAAGTCACCATGTTGAAGATCCTATTCACCTGTCAATAAGATATATATTTAGAGGGTCAAGAAGTACAATCCAGGATAGCAACCTTCTCTGAAAGTATACAGGACAGCTCAAAAGAAGATAAGTAGAAAAACCCTTGAAAACAGTTTCACAAGCACGACAGAAAAAGAAAAATACACAACCTAAAACCCAATCCCCATGGCTTTTCTCTCCTGGAGACCCAAATGCTTTCGGCCCACTTTAATGAATAATTTCTCGCCGTTTATTCTCGCCTGTCGCTGCCTCGTTGATATGCCCCTTTCCAGGGATGGCAACAGAAACGAGTCTAAGCAAAATAAGGTATTTTGTAATTGTTCCTTGTGCACATGAACTAAAATAGTAGCGAAATTAGTAGTAAATTCTGAAGTGCACCAGATGAATTCTATTGACTCGAAACAAACCTACCTCTGGACCGAAAATTCTCCACGGTTGGTATTTCAGTTTCTTTATTTACAGGTCATGAGTCATATAGTCATCTCGTGGCTCAAGAGCGAAATCGCTCGCCTTTGCCAAGGAGGCCCGGGTTCGGATCCCGGAGAATCTCGTGTGAAATTTGTTCCAACAAAACATGCTTGGCTGCTTCACAACGGCTAGTCCAACACCTGCGAAGCTTTCTAAACCCTACCCCTAACCTAATTACTTCCCAATTCTTGTCGCTGGGTAGTGACGCAGGAGCGCGTAGTAGGAGGCGCATTCGCGGAGATGCTACTTGGTGGTCCTCTTGACAACTGAGTATGACGAGACGTGAAGGATATTACGATAATAATGGAGGATCTAGCGTAATTAATGAAGGATTGATTACTCAAGGGGCTTGGAGCCCAAGGGACGCGTTGCTACGATGTACACGCAACAAATTAAAATAAATTTTACTTTCCTATTGAAGGAAGTGAATTCAGGATTTGTACTCTTTTACTGTTATTTGTACATTTTACGAGCTGGAGCAGAGGCAAGTACACTCCAACGAATGAACATGCTGACACACCTCTTGCCGGGTGAAGGGTCCTTCACGGGTCCTTCATGGACATTGAATCTGTTCCAATTGTCATACCAGCAACCGGCGTCGGCCAAAACTTCTTAGCAGACCGTTAGACGACCAAGATATGGACAAGAGTATTATCATCACTCTTCAAAAATTAGTCATCAGTACGAGCTCATTGGTCAGGAAGTTCATAGCGGACATGTGGAATTTTGAAGCTTCTAAATTTAGCTCTAGCTTCTTTATTTTTATATTGTAATTTCAAGTTTGATATTTTATATTGTATTATATTAGCATATAGACATCACCACGTCGTATTTCGGTCTTCTCAACCTGAGAAGTGAATTTTCTCATTGTCACACAGCAACTTATACTGGGACATTGCAAGGAGAACGCACACTCTAGTCTTGGCTCGAGCGGGAATCGAACCCGGGACCATGTAGTGGAAATAGAGCACGCTTACCAAGAGTTAGCCACGAGCTAACATTAATTGGGAGTTGTCAATTTAAGAGATTAATGATTTTTATAATGCAAATAATCATAGTGGTCACACTGTGAACAGTTGCCATCTGTTATTGATTGAAAGAAAATATCACCTTCAAGACTGTTTTGATCTGTTAGGCAGGGCCATTTTAAAAGCATTGGCGGTCCTTGGGCCTAGATTAACTTGGGGGGGGGGGGTCCCCTATTCTTACTTTCACCGGTCTCCACTGCCCCAATTTCGATGCTGGAATATAAAGAAAATTCTATCAATTAAAAAATATTTAAAGAGAAGTTATTTTAAACTAACTAAACTTCTCATCATTGATTGACATTATCGTATCAACGAGCAACATTCCCTATAATAGATAGTATCTAGCGATGGACGGCACATCACTCCATTATGCCATTTTTGCATATAGTTTAATTATACATCACTATCAGGGGCCCTTAAAAATTGGGGGCTCTTGGCCTAGGCCCGTCGGGCCTGTGCGTTAGCACAGGCACTGCTATTAGGAATTATACATAAAATTAGAGTTGCATTACATGTTTTAAACTGTGACTAGAGAATCACGTCGAGAGGGGGGGATCTTGAGCGGGATGCGTAGACCACGTAGTGCTAGGTGATGCAATTAGATATCGCTTGTGGGTCCAGCGGCCATGTTACCCTCGCGCAATGCACAAGGAAAAAATACAACCTTGAAACAGGCTTGGAAAATTCATGGTTGGCCGTTGTTATGAATAGTTGGCATTATAACACACATGACTATAGCTCGATAACAGCAAAATTCCTTGGGGGAGGTTTCCTCTCTTAGAAGCTCAACTTCCTCGTCTGAGGAGGAGCCGCCGCCTGCGCCGTGGCCTGGGCGGGATGAAGACAGCCTGGCCTTGACAGACATCCCAAATTCCAGAGTGTTGAAGCGTGAGAACGAAGTTGCAAGAGCAAAGTTGCAGGCGGTCCTTGAGTACAACTAGGCTCCGCCTCGGGAGGAGTGGGGGATGGTTTCCCCACTCCACCTGAGGTAAGCAACGCCATGATTTATTTATTTATTTTTTTCTAAATGGTCGAGCTATAGCAGCACATACACACACTACAGCCGTACGACAGTATACAGCACACTGAATGTAGTATTTGATCACGAAACTGTCATGAGTTAAATAATCTACTCGCGCAACTGATTCTCACATGCCACATTTGGAAGTACGTGCTTAACAGATAATTGCTTAGGATATAACGAACTGTTTCAGTCATTGCAGTCAGTTGAAACATTTAACTAATAGTGCACAGTCCAAAGTTTAATGTTAATTATTTACAAAACTAATCAACGAAAAGTATCCAATTTGAATACATAAATTACGTGAAACAATATACGTGTTATAAAACACAGTTTGTAAAATACAGTTATCCAGAATTAGCACGTGGCTGAACTTGAATGACTTGTTATTGAAATAAGTTCGTGAATAATCACACACGTCAACTCCATATGTGATATATGATTTGAGTCGTATACAGGATGATTCAGTCCTCGTTGCTCATACGCCGGGACCTTATCCTATATGTCATGTATGGAATGAATTTTCCAATACTGGATACTTTTCGTTGTTTAGTTTTGTAAATAATTAACGTTAAACGTTGAACAATGCGATTGTGCTCGTGTAACACGGGCTACGGCAAGTGAGTGAGCAGTCTCGCCACTTCTCTGGAAAACTTGATTGCTACTACTATCCGAGAAGACCCGTTAACTAACACAAGCGCGCGAGGTCCAGACATCACAGTTCCTCGTAAGACGAACAATTCATCCGGAGAGATAACGACTTTTCCATTTCTTGCGGGTGCAGCATTTGCGAATTAAACACCCACACGTTCTCAATTCTCTAGGCATTTTCTGCGCAAATGCAAATAAAACTAGAAATTTTATTTTTTTTGGTCAGATGAAGCCTATTTTACAAGAACTGGCTTAATTAATGTGCGCAATTTGCATGTGAAGGCCGAGGAAAATCCGCATGTTGCACGTAGTGTAGCTCATCAAGAGCGATTTTCTGTAAATGCGTCGGTTGGTATTGAGGATAAATTTATCCTTAGTGCTCATTTCTTACCAGAGGCATTCAGTATCTGAATTTTATAATTCAGGTATTCCCAACGCATTTGGGGCTGGGGGTTAATGAAAGGCCGCGTTTACCGCTACCAAAGTAGAGGATCGCGATGACCTTCTTCGGCGCATCGAATGTGTGGCGGCAGAAATAAAAGTACCCAGCAAAGTTGTGCGCGTCACAGAGGCGGTGCGGCGCAGACGTCTATCTTGCGTTCACGCAAGAGGAGGCTATTGTGAATACTTGTAGAGCCCTTGTTACACGAGGTGAAAATTCGAAATTTTGGCTGTATAGCAAATATCGTTAACTATCGTAAATAACACTTAAATAATAGTTTTTCTCTCATTTCGTATTAGTTAGATAAGTAGGAAATAATAGCAACAGGAAACAATATTTAATGTAATATTAGAGCCACATGTTTTGCAAAATATAATCAATGACAAAACATTTTTTCCAAAATTTTGAAATTTTTACACTATTTCCTTTTGGAGTCATGAATAACTTAGTGTACTTTATCAGAGGGTCCTGTATGAGCTACGAGGACTGAATCACCCTGTAGAGATGAGAACACTGTTTAACAGTATAAAAAATGATCGAAGTAGTTACAGTTAAGTGGTGCAACTTCGAGAAGCCATGCAGCGCAAACACGTAACATCGGTTCGGAGCGAGGCCTTGCTGGGAGGGGGTTGAAATTGTAACTGACATGCTTGGCTGTGAAGCGGCGAAGGCGGCGGGCATTTGACGTCGATTGCCCAATAGCGTTTGACAGAGAGAATTCATACATTTTGATTTAAATAAAATGTTAGGGC